CATCCTGCGGCCGTTGATTCTCAACCGCAGCTTCTTGCAATGCTCGCTGACGTGCGCGAGAATCTTCGCAAAGATTCTCGTGCATGCGGCGCTGCTGACAGCCGCGATGTGGAAATGAAATTGCATCGTGCGTAAACGGCTGCCTGCACTTTCCAAGTGTCAAGTGTTCATAGGTTGGAAATCTTTTTTGGTTTGGATAGGTAAGAAGGCTGGAAGGTTGGAATCAGCAGCCAGTGCTCTTTGCAATGGCCATCGCGGCGATGACTTCCTTGAGTTGCTTGGCCATCACATCGTGTGCAAAAGCAGGTGCTAACCGCTAGCCTCAAATCTGCAGCCCTTCCATTCAGATTCCTGGCACGTTTTATCCATGGAATAGGGAAAGTCACCGTGCCCCCAAAGTTCAGTGACCGATGCCCAGGAGCTTCTGGGCGCCGGCCGGGGCCTCAAAGCTTGGCATCCGAACGAGGCTTATTGTTTGTCATTCTTATTTATTACATTTAATATAAAACAATACATTATTACATACTTTTATAGTATATAATACAGTATAATCTACTACATTGTGCTGTATTCGGAACGGTCTGTGGCTTTGGTTTGAGGGCTGGAGGTCTCTGGTCTCAAGGGTACGTCCGGGTTTGTTTGGCAGTTTCGAGCTGGCGAGCTGGTGGTCAGTCGTTCCTTGCTTTTCGGCAGGAGGTTGCTTTCATGTGGTAACATGATTGACTTCGGGGTTCGGCCGCATGCTTAGGTTGAGTCTGAGGGTTCGTGAGTTGCCGTCGTTTCGGAAATATGGTGCAGAGTCGTAAGAGTTTCGGTGCCCTGGTTGGTGCAGCTCCTTTCTTTTGATTCGAAGTAGCCGGCCCACTGCAAGACCCTCACACCTCACACACGCCTCACACCGATGCAGCGAAGGATTCCCACCACACTGCAAGCAATATCAAGCAATGTCAAAAGGATGGACGAGCGGAAACAACTTCTCAGCCTTCGCAAGCCCTGATCCTGAAAGCTGCATGTGCACCTGAGTCCGATGCAACTTCGCTGCTTTTGCAGTGGAGGTGGGTTTTGATTTCAATGCTCTGCGGAAGGGTCCTCACTTCAGGCGTTTCGAGCTTCATCAATTGCATTTATGTGTTCGCGAAGCTTGTTCAAGCTGACAGCAGCAGCCTTTTTCGGAGCATCAACTGGCACAGGGATTGGAGGAGGTGTACCTGTCGTTCTCTGGACTCCTTGCACGCTTTTGTGTCTGGTCATCGTGTCCGTGTCCTCGCAAAGTGTTGATGTGTCTTCCTGTCATGTATCGCGCTTTGCTCGTATCGTGTTGTTCGCCGTTCTCGAACGTCGTCGTGCCGTTGTTTCGCGTTTCGAACCGTTTTCGAGCAACCTTTTCATGATTCTGATTCGTTCTTGTTTCCAAGATTTTTGAAGCAACACTGATGATCTGTTTGTGAACGGTGGTGATTGTTGTGATGGTGATGATAGTCGGTGTGGGTGCGATTATGCGGATTTTGAGGAGGACGAGGATGACTCATGATGTCTTGATTGCTGCGTTCACGGGGGTCATGGCACATGACTCTGATAATGCTGTCAGCAAGCACAAATTGGGACAATCCGGCCTAGACATATGAGCGGTTGCAGCGATAGCGCTTCAGTTCTGCATTGATACGAGCCCTGTGACAGCCTCGAAGCACCCAATACTTATGAACTGCAGCTGACTCATAGTCGTCGGCCTCACCCTTGCTCGGTTGATTGTCAGGGAGTCCAGCGCGTCCGAAGATCCGGTTTGAGCCTTGGACTACGGACTGACCTTCAAAGCAGCGAGGGAAGACTGTTGCTCAAAAGTTAACGCTGTCGCATATTATAATGTTCTATGCTGTCTCGTTATGTGGACATCTATCAAGTCCACTGCAGAACGAGCCTACCCCGTTCAAATCCGCTGCGATGTCCTTGCTCTGCTGAAGCTCTCGTCTCGAAACCGTCTCTGTACGGGCTGTGAGGCTCGCGACATCGGATCAGATCGTGGGCTTTACTGTCAAAGAGCCTGCTGCCCAGAGAGGGCTTGCTTTCGTTTCGGGTTTGGTGGAACGCTTACAACACGTTCCAGACGGATGTCATCTTCGCCCTCACGAAACTGAAGAAGAAGGAACCTCAAGGTTGTACTCAGCAGCCAGGCAAGACATCATAAACATCTGGCCTCCAGTCTCGACCCCCTAGGCTTTGGGCTTGTCTTTCCGCCAAGTGTCAGCTCAAGCTTGGCAGTGCTTCTCTTGGGAGTCTCGTCTTCTCTGGCGTACTCTTGCTTGTTTGGGCCTCGGCGCATTCCACATCCTTTACGGCTGACGGATGGTGATAGGAGTTCGTAGTTCTGTCGTCAATGCCAAGGTACAAGGGCCTGGTGATGGGCTCAACTGCGCGACTCTTGGAGCAGAAATGTCAGAGTTTTTCCGTGACAAACAAAGATTTTTTGGGATCATCTCTGCACGATTTCCATGCACCGGTGGGCTTGTTTTCTTCGTACCCATTCCTCTCCTGTTTTGACAACACCGTATGCTCCGACTGCCTCCTGCCTTGCTCCCCCAAACCTGTTCATACCTCGCCCCTTCTTGCTGACACCGTGGGATCAATGAAGAAGCAGGGGCTTCAAGCAAGGGTCCGGACGACGGAGAAAGCGGGTTGGTTGAAGGAAAGATGCCTCCTTTTGCGTGTGTTTGGGGTTGCGGAACAGTTTTGCACGTTTCGGTTTGCCTTTAACTCGAACATCACAACCAGTTGTGAGACCCATGGGCAAAACCCTGGTTTACGGCCTGAACTGACGCAGGGCCTGGGTTAAGTGGGTAAGGGTGCAGCAAGCTGATTCACATTTTCTATCGCGCTTTCAGCGGCAGCTTATGCGATCAATTGGCCGGGGTTTTTCAGATAAACTAGGGGGGATCTAAAAACAGGCGCCTTTCGCATTGTATAGATCGCTCGCATGGTGGATGGGAGAACAACGTTACCTGAAGCTTCAAAGTAAATGCACCCAGCCCATGAATTGCGAACACTGGGGTAGTTTTGCAAAGCTGGATCACGTCCAGGTGCGGGCCAAAGATGTGACGAAGGATTTCGCAAGCTCCATACGTGCGGCCGGGTTCTGAGGGAAGAGCGAATTTCACAGTATTCGTGTGTCCGGTGCTTTGGGTTTCCGGCGAAGAAGGTTTGGTGTGGTATTGGACTTCAAGATTTTGGCGGGCATATGTCTTGCTTACCTTGTGGCTCTGCTTCCCAGCAATCGAGAAGAGCTTGGCTCTTGGGGTCGTTTGAGACACCAAGGTTTGTCGTAGTCAGTGCGCGGGGGTGCTAAATGGCGAAGATGTAGGGATTTCGGCTGTGTGGGACAAGGAAGGGAGATGCCATAGTCTGCGGATACGAAAGTCCGAATACCTTCTGCGACCATCCAGCCCTAATTCTATTCTCCGGCATTTGTTCAAGATGGCAGTGGGCCTAACGCAGTTCTTTTATCCCAGTTTGCCTCAAGCAGTATTTGTTGCCACAGGGGGCTGTGGCTGCCTGTGCTTGCTGGAGAACTGCGAAAGTCTTGAACAGGAACTCGTGGTAAAGAGCGGGAACCAAAGTCAGTTCTTTGGTTTGGATGGTCGTTGCTGTGTTGTTGGCCTTGGATTTAAACTGGATTGCGCAAACGGGTGGCCCACCCTCCGTGCAGCTAGGTTTTTGGCGGAGAGCTCCCACACTACACGCAGCTGATGCAGGACTTCACTGCAAGGAAGCCAAAACCGAGATTTGCGTCGGATTGCGTGATGCTTCGAACGTTTGATGTCACATCCGGCTCGAAGTTGAGAGGGAGAACGTCGGACAACTCGTGAAAAATCTTCCTTGCATTCGCGATTCCGATCCTGCAATCATGAATGCGCGCATACTGCTTCAGGATGCTCGTGAAGAAGCAATATCCAGGATGGAGGACAGGGGCTTGTCGAGTCGCCCAAAATGCCCGACGATGATGCAGTATGTGGAGAAGACTCTAGGATTTGACTTGCTGTTCTCGGCTAGTCCAGGACGAGGCTGCAAAGCTGGGCGCGAATGCCGTGGGGCCCTTGGCATGCGATGGGATCGTTGGGACGGACTTTCCTTTGCATTTGCAGTCCTGCAGCCGACAGCATTCAGCCTGTGCTATGCTGTGCGCTTTCCACACAGGACGCTTGTACGAGACGGTCTTAAGGTGATCAGCCTGCGCCTTTCATCCACCAACATCGCCGTCAGCACCTCAGCTTGTCGGTGTAAAGCCAGCGAGTGCGTGCTGACCCTGGGACCTTGGGTCCGGGAAACCTCCATGACTGCAGAGAGCATGCGAAGTCCCTTCTTGACGGGAGCGCTAGAAGCGGAAACTCGGGCGATTCCCGTGCTCGAGGCCACCACGTCCGAAGTGATGGTCTACGGCACCGCTGTCGTCGTCGAGTGACGGCTATCTCCCTCTCTCTCTCTCTCTCTCCGTCGGGCCCTCTGAGCCCATGGCCAGCTGATCCAGGGACTTTCCTGAGATCCCGCTGCGTGCGCCCGCGCACGATCGGCAAAAAACGAGTGACCTCCCTGAGAGGGGTATTGTTTGGGGTTCACGGAGATGCTTTAGAGATTCGGTCCACCTCCTGAAGCTTGCGCAGCGGAAGCGTGATCATGCTGTACACTCGTTCAATGCCTCTGGGCAGCCGCGGGCTCAAGTTGAGAACTGCAGGGATGTTTAAGTTTCAGGGGCCAGGAGGGCCATTGGCCGCTGAAAGCCTGAGCCTGAGCCAAAATAGTAGTTTTTCGTCGATAACGGATCCACGCACCTGCCATGTGTCAGGCATCGCTTTCGTTGGTGCAGGACGAATGCGAGGCTTGGGGGCAGCAGGCCATGCCCGAGCGTTCGATGGGTATAACAGGGACGGTACTAGAAACTGCTTCTCACATCCGATGCTCCGATCCGAAGTGGAGGTCCTGATAATGCTTTAAAATCCTGCCTGTAACCTTGCAATCCCAGGCCAGACTTGAGCAAGCTCAGACAACAGCACTTTGTTCGGCTCTCGTTCCACCTCTGCACTCGCAAGGAGTGCGCAGGGTTTGAAGCTGAAGCATTCGCAAGCAGAGGATGGGCTCGTGTTGCGAAGATATCGCCGCGCGGTGCGTTGCAACTGGCAGGCCAAGCTCCAAGAGGAGCAGTTGATGCAGCAGGACCTGTCCGGGTGCTCAGAAGACTCGGGAATGAGTTCGCAAAGGACGGGGGGCTCTAGAGTCAAGCGAACTACTCGTACTGCAAGGTTCGCAAACATACATGTGGAAATGCGTAATTGATAGTGCTTAGACCACCATCAGCACCGGCACCAACACCAACACCATCAACGCCATCATCGCCAGTCGCGATATCGTCGCCATCATGGCCATCATCGTCATCATGATCTGCTTCCTCGGTCTCAGCACTATCAACTACTCATTTGCACATGGATCTTGGCGATCCTTGCGGTACGAGTAGATCGCTTGACTCTGAGCTGGTCCACACAACCCATGTTTTCTTCCCAATCGGCAACCTGTTCTTTCTCCTTCCGTTCTCCGTCTGGTCCCTTTTGCAGCATTTTGCAACCTAGTCCCTCCCCCCGTTGTGTGCAGGAAGCTTTGACGGGCTCAGGCTGAATTGCTGGACATGATGCCCACCAGGCTGGGGCTTTCAAGAATTGACAGATAGGATTTCATGTCATCGTGGCTGTCGTCATCACCATCTTCATCTTCTACCGTCGCTAGCATCATCATCTTCAGCATCTGCAACATCTTCCGCATCATCATCATCATCATCATCGCCATCACTCCAACAGTACCTCAAACGAGCAATACTCTTCAGCAACCAGGCCGAGCCTTAACACAGTGTGATGCCGGGGAAGAACAAAAGCAATGGTTTAGACGGGTCACTGCTGCCTGCTTTCCTCTGAAGACTGGACTCGGACCTTTAAAGTGGAAGGCCTTCAGCTTGACTGAGCCCCTTCCCGCTCATGTGCTCTTGCCATTCGTAGAAGGGACGATGGGTTCTTTGGGTTTCAAGACCGATGTGTCGTGCAGTAATGTTTCGCGTTCGCCCGATTTGGGGGCTCGCATTGAGAATGGGCACAGACCACTTGGCTAAATGAGAACTGTGCAGAAGCTGTGTGTTCTAATTGCTTCGCAAACAAGAGGCAGCTTGCCATTATTTCCGCCAAGGCGGGGACGGGATCCTAGCGGAGAGTTTGGAATCTGGCTACGGCCCGTGTTGCGAATCGTTACCACACGGGGGTCCTAGTTCACCTGGGGCAAAACATGCTGCACCGGGACATAGCATCATACAAGGATGAGCATGAGGATACTGGTGTCAGTGGTGATGATGATGATGATGGTTTTCCGCTTGCTGATGCTGATGATAATGACCATATTCCTTGGGAGGGAAACGCGCTTGGCATGGTGACTCGACTGCCCGAAAAAGCTGAAGAAACTACTTGCATTGACCATGTTGTTGTTGTTGTTGCTGCTGGCAAGTTCGGTCCTGTTTGTCTTCCGTTTCACCGAATGTCTGCTAAGTCCAGCGCCCGCCACGCGCAGAGCACGCTCGTGTCGTGTTCAATTGAAAATTGTTGTTGCTGCTGCTGCTGCTGGTGGTGGTGGTGGTGTTGTTGTTGTTAGGGACGGACACAAGTACCGTGTCTTACCCCAGATCACCGGCTTCTTTGGCATCATCTGCTCTCTATTCAAACGCCTCTGGGATCAGGCCGAGATGCATGACACCCTCGAAACAGATGATAACTTCGAGATCGTGGCGTCCACTATCAAAGCTATTTATGACCAAACATGCAGGTCGTGTGGTCTCAGTAACAGGCTGGTTATTTATATGCCAACACAGGGAAAGCAGGTGCGTAAAATGCGCATGGACCACAGAGTGGGCGACACAGCGGCCAAGCAAAAGTGGCTACGCCCAGACAAAAGGCAGTCAGAGGCCCTGGGCCCGGTCAACGACAAGAGGCAAAAGGACGAGGCAGTTCGCTCTCGACCGCAGTGGGATGATCGCCCTTGGTGGCACTCATCCGACTGGGCCTCGTCATCAAGCTCCTGGCGATGGCAGGATTGGTAGTCAGCCAGGGGTCTCGGGCCGGGAACCAGGGGCCTCGGGCCAAGTCCAGTTTGTTTTTTTGTGTTTGTCAATTGCACCGGTGGCGCGGCCAACCTTTCTAGCCACACTGTGCCGATTTTTTCACTTGTGGAATGCACGTTCAGTCGCTCTGCCTGCGCCAAAAGTTCGCCTTGCATCTCCAGCTGTGCCCAGTGGCTGATATCCACCCGTTACCTGCTGCAGCCATGCAGCTGCCATTCAGGTACCTTCTGAGAAGCCTCAGCTAGCTGTACATATACTGAGCGGCCGAAGCCTTCATCTTATTGTAGGTTATATTGTCTTGAACATCAAAGGTCAGTGGTTTCACAAGCGAGTGCTAAGGCGGCAACTGCCCGCAAAGTGCTGAGCCCGCTCGCACCGCGTCCAATTGCAATTGTTGTTGCTGTTGTTGGTGGTGGTGGCCCCACTGGTAGAGCTCTACCACATGCTGCGCGCTCCTCGCCGAGTGCCCCAGCTCGCTGGTAGTTGAGCAGGTGCAGTCTTGTGTTTACGGCTGTCCCTCCACTGCAGCTTGCGGCGTCACGTCTGCAGAAGGCTCAATTCCACGCAGCCTGGCTTGCAGACAAACTAGCACGCTCCCACGAACGGTCTAGTCCGTCACGGACGGGAGCTCTGCTCAGCACAGCAAGCGGAGGAGGCTCGGCCTACCTGCGGGCCGCTTCTTAGCCATGGCGGCCACACAGCCTCCCGCTTCGCCATTTATCGTCTTGAGCGACAGCACCTTGCAGTACCTCCTGTGGCTGGATGGTTCGGGCAGGTCCTACGGGGTGGAGAGCGTGGACGACAACCCTTTTCACCAGGCTGTGATATGCCCTGGCGCATCACTGGTGATTCCCCGCGCTGGCCCACTTCGGACGCCTCCTGTTCTTGAAGTCTTGGCGTGGCACTTTATTCGAGTCTTGGGTGAGGAACAGCCATTCCCCGCAGATCATGGTCCCCTCATTGAGCTCCTCAAGAAACACTACTACAGCGAGGTCTACGTCCGTCTTATCCCCCTGCGGGCCTCGCTTGCGCCAAGCAAGCAAGGAGCCTATGACTGGCTCGCGGACGTACGGGACCAATACGGCCTGGCTGCCTACGAGCTTTCGGACCAGACCATTATGAGCCTACAAGGTGACGACCCCAACCTCATCGACCAGTTCTACACCTCTAAGGACTGTCACTTTCGGCCGGCGATCGCCCAGAAAGCCATTGGTCTTCTACTTGGCCGGGCATTGGACTCCATTGGACGCAGTCGCCCGGATTCCCAGCACATCCAGGTTGTATGCTCTTGGAATGTCAAAAGGGACTCGGTCCACCAAGAAATGCACGCTACGGCCGAGCTTTGTCAGGCCAGAACACTACAGGAGGTGGGCTCCATTGCAGCGCGCCACTCGCACAAACAGTGGATCCTGCGGCGGTACGTGGAACCGGGTGCCATGGACAGACCCATGCCCAAGACGGCATTCCAGACCTACATACATGATGACATGCCGGGCCCCAGGGACATTTTCAAGAATTGCCTCCCCGGCTTTGAGCGCACTTTCTGCAACGACGAGGCCCTTTTCACCACGCTCACTCTGCATGCTGGAGATCATGGAGCGCACCTATGCACCAATCTCAAGCAGCCGGCTCACCGCGCCGACATCTTCAGGTACATCTACCATTACAACCATGGTGGCCAATACTTTGACATTAAGTTTGGTTTCACCGTCCTTTTTGACAACATTATGCAGATACTGGCGCAGGACTGGGGTTCGGCCCAACAGCAACTGAATGAGCAGCGGGGACTCGGTCCGACTCAGAAAGGCAAGCTGCCGTCTGAGTTCCTGCTCATGGCCATCGGGATCAAGAAAAATCATATCTTTCAAGGCATAATCTATGGCCAACCCCGACATCCTTTGTTTATGCGCGCCATAGCGCATGCATTTTCCAAGGAAGTTATGAGCAAAGTCGCCAACCTCGATTACATGATCTTCTACAAGGCCCTTTGGAAGTTAATGAAGAACGACATGAAGCAGGAGCCAGCCGTGGGCTGGAGCATTTCTCCAACCTATGGTCCGGTCTATCTTCTGCAGGAAAACTTCAGCGCAGGTCTTCGCTCCAAAGGCCACCTCGGCAACGATGGCCACTACTTTGTCACCCAGCAGAAGATTACCGTGGCGTACACCAACCAGATGCTGGCACTGGCAGAAGGGCTTCAAAGGCGACCCTCGGGCCAGTGAACGGCGTGCAACTACCATGTTGCAGGGCCTTCCACAAGCCGTGGCGGAGGCCCTTGACGCTCGGCGTGTCTATGGTCACGAACAGGAGGGGAC